TCTGCAAGCTATTATATGGTATTTTGTGGTGTGACTTTCGGTCGACCTTCTGAGTAATCAGAATTCCATGAAATTATGCGGCTAATTATTTTACCAGAAATGTTTACCTTCAGGCATTGTGGGATATTTTTGAATGGGTTCACGGTCAGCATGGATCTGTGACCCTACGTTAAAGGCACCAGTCAAAATACCACCATAGCTCTGGAGATTGGCGTAATTCAAAAGTCTGATGACGTGTGTTAAAATAAGTCTCGTTTTTTTGTAAAGACATTGGACAGACAATTGTTAGACATTATTCCCATGATCAGAAAGAGTGGAAACATATTGTTACCTTTGAATTGTAAAGTTCTGTAATTCGCCATGAGAAACGGACTTCATCTATAGCACAGTTTGTGGTACTTGAACCTATCGGTGTTGAGTGAATGAGTTCGTTTGGACCCCTTTTCCAGCACTATGTCAACTGCAAGGCAACTTGTCCGGAAAAGTTTTATGAATGTCATAGTAGCATGGGGTGATCAGTTGTCTAAAGACCACAATTCTCTGTTCATACTTGTGTCCTCTGGGTATAACAGAACCCTATTATCCTGATTTTGAATCCCAGATTCGCCCTGAAGATGTCTCTTGCCTTGTTAGCACTATGTATGTTTCACAAAGAGATGAAGGTCTAAGACCACCATAACCTTTGGCTTGCCCCGAAAATCATTTTAGGTGTGTCCGCTCGGTGCTCGTGGGTTTCACAAAATATCAGGACGGTGGGGTAGTGTTCGCTTGTCACGCCGAAGCAGACACGGGTTCGATTCCCCACATAGGTACAATGTTTAAAGCCCATTTCTGGTGTCCCCGACGTAATATTGCTGGAATATTGCTAAAAGTAAAACCACTCACTCACTCACATATCTGCATCACCTCGGGTTTTCCACCCATCATGGCCAGACACATATTGATATAACTACAATGCTCTTCCAAGTGAAGTTACGCTAAATTCACCAAACCCACCCAGTCTCTCAATGGTACAAGTTGTACGCGTTTACGGTTTAAAATAGACCAACATGTATTTATGCAAAATGTGGCGAAAACAACCCTTACAAATATATTCCAATTTTGGGAATAAATTCCAGGAATATGACTGATAAGTATTTCATCACGGTTGCCTGATATATACCCTTATTGGTGTTTCTGCTACTACGAGCTTAGACCACCCTTTAAAAAGAAAAAAAATCAAATTTCTTCGGTAATGAAAATAACAACACTAACCTTCTTGAACGTACCGATCAATGATGAAATGTGCACTAATCATGATGAAATGTACAATGACCATGATGAAATGTGCACTAATCATGATGAAAAGTACAATGATCATGATGAAATGTACAATGACCATGATGAAATGTGCACTAATCATGATGAAAAGTACAATGATCATGATGAAATGTGCACTAATCATGATGAAATGTACAATGACCATGATAAAAATGTACAATGGTCATGATGAAAAGTACAATGATCATGATGAAATGTGCACTAATCATGATGAAAAGTACAATGATCATGATGAAAAGTACAATGATCATGATGAAATGTACAATGACCATGATGAAATGTGCACTAATCATGATGAAATGTACAATGACCATGATAAAAAATGTACAATGGTCATGATGAAAAGTACAATGATCATGATGAAATGTGCACTAATCATGATGAAAAGTACAATGATCATGATGAAAAGTACAATGATCATGATGAAATGTACAATGACCATGATGAAATGTACAATGATCATGATGAAAAGTACAATGATCATGATGAAATGTGCACTTATCATGACTGACTGACTGAGTTTAGTTTTACGCCGCTTTTAGCAATATTCCAGCAATATCACGGCGGGGGACACCAGAAATGGGCTTAACACATTGTGCCCATGTGGGGAATCGAACCCGGGCCTTCAGCGTGACGAGCCAACGCTTTAACCACTAGGCTACCCCACCGCCCCGCACTAATCATGATGAAATGTACAATGACCATGATGAAATGTACAATAATCATGATGAAATGTACAATGACCATGATGGAATGTACAATGATCATGATGAAAAGTACAATGATCATGATGAAATGTGCACTAATCATGATGAAATGTACAATAATCAGGAAGTAATCCGAGCTCTCCATCACTGCCAGCTGGAGTGTTCTCATTTTGTTACGTATCACGTAAGGATTCAATATGTTCCTTTAACACTCATAACTCATTCTAACTATCTTGCAATGGAAATATATGTGTCTTAACATGACATGGAATCCTCTCACCTTCAAGCTTGTGTCATATATTTCATTTTTAATTCAATCTCTGTCAGGTTCTCTGGTGTCCAGGGGCAACAGTTAGTTCCAGAAGGAATCGATCACTCAGATTTTCTAATTTGCCTGTTAATAGAGACATCGATCTTTTCAATAAGATTCTCAAAGGTTTACAAACATTGCCAGTCTTCTGACAGTCTAATAAATCAAGGATATCTCATTTTGCATTGATAAATATCTATGAGGCATGAAATCAACTTTCCTTAAAGGCGGTGTGAAATATGATAAGTTTGAAGTACATGTTAAAACCACTATTGAAATTCAATACTGGATATTACATATTAAATTTGATATTTTTTATCTAATAATATTTTTGGTATCTTCTTCAAGGATATTCCCTTCAAATGGTGAAACATGTTCCTCAGAAAGTGTAGCGTGTATTTGAGATACCTAATAAACCTGAAAAATACAGTGGTTGCTTTTTTCTTCCCCAAATGTTGTTTTTACATCTATTAAAATGGATATGATAAACTGGGTTTTTTCACATGACGGAGAACGCTTTGGGCGAAAGATCACGTGATATTTCTATCACTTTTTTATAATTTAACAGGTTGGATTTTTTCTGAGTAATGAGACCACAAGATAACAGGTGTTATATGACCGATCCGGATCGATCCATCACCCAAGAGAAGCAATTGCCATGATAATTTTATGCAAATATTTGTGTTCCATTTTCATCATTCCAAGCTTCCGGCTCCCTTAATCCTCAAGGGTTAATTTAGTGCCGCGTTTCCAATATCACCGTATGCATCGTGCCTCAGTAGTGAGTGAGTGAGTTTAGTTTTACGCCGCTTTTAGCAATTTTCCAGCAACATCAAGGCAGGGGACACCGTAAATAGGCTTCACGCACTGCACCCATGTTGGGAATCGAACCCGGGTCTTCGGCGTGACGAGCTAGCGCTTTAACCACGACGCTACCTCGGCGTCCCCCGACTCCATGAATCGCCTCTTTCGACAAATTGGGGTTGCTGAAGACAAAAGATATTTTCATGGTTTCCAAGTGGAAAATATTATCAGAGCCTCACCATTTGGGCTAAATATTTAATCTTAAATATGGAGAAGCAATTACGTGTTGTCTTTTATGATGATTCCAGGTGACTGGATACCATGGCAACGAGAATGGTGCTGGTGGTAGTTCTGCCAATCTATCTGATAAACGTTTTAATCTAATGAACAATTTACATGGCGTGTTCGTTTGATGTGGTACCATCCGTAATCAGAAAAATATATATGGGATATTACAACTCGGTGATATGACCGACTGGTATATTACTCATTGCTGTGTATGCATGGGTGAATTGGTAGCCAGGTGGAACGTGTGTTTTCTCTTCACGCTGAGAACAGGGTTCGAGTTCAATTAACAAAGTCGAAAGCATTAACCTCCTGATGGACAGAAGATACGCAACCACCAGCCCTGACACGCTCCCTCATAAAAAGACGTGTATGTAAATGGCTTTACAATAATTTACACCGACTTGGTATGAGTCACAGGTTCATTCTCCAGGCATATCTCTACTACCAGGAAACCATTGTCTGTATTCACGCCTGGTGCCCTGAGCGTAATTAAACCATTGAGCGGCTCCTGTTGTGTTGAAGGTAGCATTGACCGATTGGTTGCAACGCAAGCGTCATTTGCACAGTAATTGTACAGCTGCACAGAGAATGTACAGGCAAGCAATTCGCGTGTTAACTAAGCCAAATTAAGAGACGTGATGCTTCTGGAGATAGCTTTCTAATCAGGGCCTTCTCACTCGGATGAAGGTGTGGGGAGATGAACAAGCAAGCCATCAGCCTTGTCTCTTTAACATCTCTTTTTGCTCTTGGCTTCAGATGAACTGTTGATATGGGAAAACTTTCACCATCAATTCTGTTCTTCTATTGAAAAATGTTTGTTTGTGGCCATTATAGCTCTTTTCATTATCAAGTTCTTCTTAGCTCAAACAAAGACGTTATACATTTGCGTACGTCATTGGTTTAGGTAACCTTACGTATTTCCGTCTCGTCTCTAGATAGACTAAACGTTTCCTTAATACTCGAGGGTTCGTTTACAGAATCAATAATTATTGTTTTACCTCATTTAGAACTTTAATTTTCGTGGTCTATTTGTTAATGAAACAACAGATCTGCTATTCCAGACAGTTGTTCACACAGAAATGACAGCGGTAACGTATTCTGTCCAGGTATATTTTTTCAGGAGAGTACAAGTCTAACGCTGTGTGAAGGCTTGTTAAAACAGCTGAACGGCCTTTAGATGTAAATGTCATTTGTGTATACACATTTAGTGAAGTATATTATCTGTATATACCGCTGACAAGAACACATTATTTCTGGCTGTATATAACATGATGAATTCATATTCACCTTATACTGAAGATAATTATACGTCTGAAAACAACGAGGGGCACTAATTATTCCAATTATCATATGTCAAACATGAGTCATGCTGTTGAATATGTCGCACTTAATACCTAGAACGAAATAGCCTGACCCTTGAAACACTGTGAAACAGTGTGAAACAGTGTGAAACAGTGTGAGATGTTTTTATTTTGCAGCTGTCACAAATAACGAGGCAATCGTGTGTAAGGTCTTCATGCTTTTAAATTATCACTGATTACGATATGAACATGTTTATTTGTCTTTTCCAGTAAATTATGACAGTAAAAGATTCGGTAAGTACACTGCTAAGCTGGTGTCTGTTTTGCCAAAGCTGCTGTTCTTGTTCTCTCGGTTCTACATTGCCAAAATCTGTTTGTTTACATCTCATTGTTTCCTGTTATTTGACAACGGGACTTTGTCTTTATATTTCTTTCCTGTTTCAATTCATCTTCCTTATCGCTATCCATATGCTTTATATTTCACACTTCCTCTTCCTTCCTTACACGTCACTTCCGCTCATGCGCTGTATGATGGTGGTGGGGTCACATTTCAAGGACGACTGTATGAACTCTCTTATACACAATCACCTTTCATTGGTTTGTGGTATTTGTAACGTTGTATGCAAAACATTCTCATGATATCACCTGCATCTTACAATGGAATCTACTTTTAGCACAGATTTCTCCTTAATATGCAAAGGTTTTTGTTTTTATTGAACTTGCAAACATTCATACCGTTATTGCCCGATTGCTATATACATACGAGTATCTATATAGGTAACAATCTTTAACAACATGTACACGTTTTATTCCTTCTGTGAAACAACCCGCATTTTCCCCAATTGCCCTGTAAGCCAGATTGTGTTGCCATTTGTCATTGAGCACTGCATTCATGTCACTTCCTGTTGGTGTACAGTCCAGTATGTGAGTCTCATTCGGCGCGTTGTCAGTGTTCTGTGTGTTGTGTGGCAAGTCGGTGTTTTTGTTGTCCTATTGTGTAAAGAGTGCTGCACAAAGATCAATTTGTAAAATGCTGTGATTGTGATATCTAAGGTACTCTTTAAATATAATTGTACTCTCACACACTCCATAGCTTTATCTAACCCAACATCATTATCTGATGTGTAAACAATTCTTTTTATACAACATTTGGTATTATACCTTCTAATATTTTTAGTCGAACCACATATTATTATGATATGATTTCAGCCAATATTGTCGATGTGTGACATAAGGCAGAATCTACTTTCCTTGATGTTCTATTTTAGTTATAGGCAAAATCATAATAATATTAGACAGCGATATTATATTTTCTGTAATCAACATTTCAAAACAAATACCTTTCAATCCAACATGTAATTTTGAATAATGGTGAAGTATCAATTTTGTTCATCCAATCGATTACATAAGATCTATTATTAGAATAGACATTTCCACGTGATTTGAAGACCCACAGTGGCTTTGTAAATCGACACAGGATTCATTTAATTATAGGAACATCGCATTCGGCTGTCGTGCCAGAAATTCTATTTTCACAGACGGACAATATGTATCTACCAGCGTGAATATGGTTCTCTTGGGTTAAGCTCCATTAATGAAATAGATCGATGTGACACGAGATATTGATTGCAATAAGCAATTTACCACGACAGTGATGAGTAAATCTGATCATTGACAACGCCAAGGAGTGTTCATTACACCAACTTCGTTTTATTACTCATATTTAGCGTGTAATTAATCAATAATGCCATTCAGGAGTACATCCACTATGCGAAGTAATATTTGTACAAGGGGACTTTGGGTAATTCAAACTTGAATCAGAATAGAGTAAATATTTATGTTTCGCCACTCCAAGAAATGAATTCCTGTTTTGCAAATAAAGGATTTATGGTACAGTGTTTTCGCTTCAGTCTTGAGAAAGCATCAAGTTGTTCTTCGTGGAAATGTTTGTGTTTTTAAACAGCGTGAATATTAAATAGTTCAGCTCTGAAATATATTTATCTTGTGAGCTCTTTCTGATTCTGTTAAAAACCTTTGCTATTGATTAATACGTAATAAATGTATTGCTTGTTATTGCTACATGTAGTTTAGTTTGATATCCCACTCAGCTTATGATTCGACTTATCCCATCTTGGAAGTAATTAGTGAAGTATTAAATATTTTGATAAAAGTTTGATTTACTGAAAGGTCGATACATTAAAATAAAGTCGCGATGTCACTGCATAGCCGTGATAGATAAACCGTGTCCTCGCTCTCATAAACGTTCTTGTAATGTGTTTGTATAAATGTCAAATTAACCATAACGAAGATGTTTATGAGTAGAAAATTATATAAAGAGAAAGGTATGATTATAAATTAATCAAATGCCAGAGAATAGGTATCGATTATCTGCTAAAATAGGTTTAATTTCATTGGGCCTTAAAGGCAAAAGTAGAAATGACAGTTCTATGAATTTATCTAAAACTGACACCAGCTGTTCACGAAAAGTGAAAGCATGTCACATCCCCTCGGTGTATGTTCATGTATTCCTTGATCCCCATTACAATCACGAATTACATTCCACATTCTACCAGTATTAATCCCTGTTCAAAATCTGTAAATGATTCTGATCAAACGGACTAAAAAATAATAGAATCTGGTACTGGTCTCCTCTCTCACATATATCTCTGCACGTGTTGATCTGAAACTTTATCAGTGTAAAAACGGCCAGCTCATCAATCACTGTACCATCCTGGGCCTCCTTTCACAAAGCACTGAGGTGATCGTGTGTCACTAAGGTAACCTATGTTAAAGAATAGGAGTTAAGGTTAACCTTAGTAAAGGTTGCTTCGTGAAAGGAGCCCTGGTCTGTCCAATCGCGTGATAATCTCCGAACTTCCCTGTTTAAATTTAAAAGCTGTTTTTCTTTTTTATATACAGACACAAATGTCAAAGTGTAATTTCTTTCTGTCATAGACATCAAACCGTCACATCGGTTCCATTTACAATCAATGTCATAAAAAGAAATAACCCAGGATAAAATATCAAACAGACTTAGATGACTCGACGTCCTCATAACGTTGTGTTTTTTCCGACGTTATCTTTAAAAACAATGTACAATGTAATACTATGTAGACATATAACACACGTAGTCGTATATCATTATACGTCATGGAAATTACCCATTTCTGGTGTTCCCCGCCGTCATTTTGCTGGAATATTGCTAAAAGCGGCGTAAAACTAAACTCACTCAATCACTCTGGTAACTAAGCTCCTACTGTATGTATAGATATGTGTTGATGTATTCCCTTGTTTACCAGTCACATCAAGCCAATCCTTCCCTATGCACAGACAGTTCCTTGTATGTGATAGATGATAAAATGTTCGTTGAAGCAATGTTCCTGTATGAATATCTTCTGTTTTACATCCACATAGCGACCACAGCGCTAAAGGTGATAGTAGCTTCCATACTTCAACATAGGCTCATAATAAGTAGTTGTAGCGTTAAGATCGTTTTCTTGGAACCGGTCCCTGATTTGTAAACTACCGGGCAAAAGAAGTATACAGCAAGGTCTGATAGTGACAAAGAAACCAGAAATTATTATGTGGTTGATGGTTTTTTATCTTTAGTTTGCATCGTTACATTATTATTCAATATCAGTAAATGAAAATTTCATATTTTGGTCCAGTCCAAAGAATACTTTATTTTGCCCGTCAGTGTATGTATACCTCTATCATAAACAGAAACCTGGTCCTAATATAGAGCGGGCTATAAATAACGATGTTAGTGATACAGTGATAACACCAGGTGTTCAGGTGGTCAAACATGCGCTTTAAGTACCATCCTTTGTTACTGCAATAACGTATGGTGTTAAAGCTCCTCGACTTAAATTGGTTACTCGTGAACAACTGAAAAGACTTTGGTTTGAGGTATTGGATTCTGCAGCATTAGCTCTGTCTTTCGATTCGAATCAAGTACGTTTAACATGCATTGAAATACATTCGTTACTTGACATTTAGTACAATCGCAGACACTTGGCGTAAAATATAGTCTCGTGTTGAAATGGATCGGACTGATTACAATGGTATCTCAAGGAGGTCTTCTAACACATGAATGCCTTTGAGTGACGTTTCATTCCATGCAGAAAATCTCAACAGGTTTTGCTCTCATGCCGGGTCTTATCGCATGGAGACGCAGTTAAAGTATGGAATACGAAACTAAGGAAGCTGCTGAGTCACCGCGACCATTTTGAATCGCAGTAACAGCAGTTGCATCTTCTGATTGGTCAAAATGATATTCATAATCCTTACCTCATAGGGTCATTTAGTTTTATAGCTCATTAGACGGTCCTAGGGCTGGGTCACAACGAATAAACATCAATCTCCTTGTTATTACATCCTGCGTTCAAAGCTATTTACATTTTTACCGGGCTGTGGTACCACAAATGTCATCAGTCACGCTGATTAGACTTTCAGGCCGTTTTTTAATCTTTTTGTCGACCAACATTGGATTATATGTTTCTGTTTTTTCTTCCCCATGGTGTTCGACAGAGGTGATAGCGTGACGTTTTTTCGTGATATATAATATACAACAATATAATTTGTGAAAATTCTCCCATGTTTGTCAGCATGGGAATAGTAAATACGAATGAGGCGTCATTATTACATGTTCCCTAAGCGTGTACCGAACAAGCATAATTTGATTTCCCCATTAATCCATGCAGTGCATTTAAGCAGCTTACCCAGTCAAAGGCACTGACTTGGAAGGCCAAACATTCTTGGCATCTCAGGCTAATGTACATTTCTCGTTGAAAACGATAATGATAAAATTTGATATCCATTTACAATTTGAAAAAGCCGAAAAGGTCCTATAAAATTACAATGAAATTAGTTCAAAGTGTCTGTTACATCGTTTCCTTTTTGTGTTGAAGGACAAACCGTTAACATAAAACAAAGGTTGCGTCTTGCGTGAACAATTGAAAAGAATAACTCGGAAAAGTTGCGTTCGAAGTTCTTATTACATATGTTTTTATTCATATCTCACATATGAAGACATGCAAATATATAATAGATGTTATTCAACACTTTACTGTTATTTTTAAAGGGATTTCACGGTCTTTGTGTACAGATAACTAAGATTATAACTAACTCTAAAGTACCACTAATTTTAGGTCGTTACAACCACAGTTCGTTTAATGCATTATGACCAAAATATACAGCAAGTGTCGGGGGAGACATAGTTCGTTATATCCGTCAGTTCGTTATAAGCATGTTCGGTGTAAACTGTAGATTACTTTCAAACTGGAGCGTATTTT